ATGACCCGTTCTGGACAATGGAATCTTCCCCTCCACCCCACAAAATCAATCATGTTTTATCATCAAATGACGACGTAAAAAAAAAAAAAAACGACTCGGGACGTAACTCACCTCTGAAGGGCATCATGAACTCCTCCAGCAAACCGTGGTGACCGCTCTTTAGCAAGTGTCGCGTGATCTCGTGCAGTGTCTCCTTGCCCAGTGTCCTGATCCACACACACAAGTTAGTGGCGATGAGGTGCATCAGACCAAATCTTGCTATTACTTTAAACTTGTGGATGTTCAGCTGTCAAAACACATCTCAGAATATCAACAACAATTTTATTAACTTTATGTCTTACAAGTATTTTGCACACTCAATTTCAAGAATATCTTACGAAATAATTGTTAAACAGACGTGAAGATGCACGTGGCTTCACCCTAGCTACAAGAATAGGAACTAAAATTATTTTACTAAACCACAAAGTTTTAAACTCACCCGAGCATTGACAAAAATAAAATACATCTGAGCAAAGGTGAAGAACATTTGTAAAATGGGGTTAATTCCTAACAGGATACTGTAACAGGGGGACGTATGAGGAATCTCAAAGAATTGTCCGAACTCCAGTCCGTTGTATACCATCGTCCCAAGTCCAAAAGCTAAAACAGCAAAAATAGTAGAAAAAAATTAAATCTTTCATACAGTGCACAGTTAAATGATGCTGAAGAACTAACTACACACTGAAATATTTAAAACTGAAACGTTTCTCCATTTTCTGAAAAGTTATATAACCAAAACATAAAAATCTTTCATGAAGATCGATTTGATAAATTTAGTAACATAATTTATTTTTGTATTTTTATTTTAGGTCTGTTTGTAGTTGAACACAAAGCTATACAAAGCTCTGCCCACCACGGGTATCGAAACACGGTTTCTAGCGTTATAAGTCCGCAGACATACCGCTGTGCCACTGGGGGGGGGGCAATTTTCAGGAATGCCGTCGCATTATTTTTGTCTTTCATAGCACAAAAATGTGTACAATTTTTATCGTTTGTTTATGATATCAAACTCCACTTTAATGTATATATATTAGCATCGACTGTGCAGACAACATTCCTGCCCCCCAGTGACACAGCGGTATGTCTGCGGACTTACAACGCTAGAAACCGGGTTTCGATACCCGTGGTGGGCAGAGCACAGATAGCCCTTGTGTAGCTTTGTGCATGATTAAAAACAGACAGACAGACAGACAGACAACATTCCTCTTACTGCCTGGCACATTAAGTTACTGAATGAAAAAACAACAAACCTCTATAATGACGATGAGAAAGGCCACTAAACTAAAGAAGAAAACAACTACTAGATGTAGAATATACATTCACAACCATATAATTGTACATATCCGATTAAACCTCAATATACAAACTAATGAGTTGTTTGTCGTATGTGTACCATAAGATGCTCTGAAGTTTATTTTGTTGAAAAACGGTCTAAAGCGAAACGTTTCCTTTCCTGATAAATTTGGGTCATTTTTTCACTGTGTGAACAAAGTGTTTATTTCCTGTTAATTAAGCGTCTTTGTTCACAAAGCATGAACTAATCACCCTAACCCTAACTTTAGATCGACAAACAGGATTTACGGCTTCTTGGATAGTGTCGTAAGTTCGTAATAAAGAATACAATTGTACCATTTCGATATTCTGTGAACATTTCCATGTAAGAACTCAGAGGAGGTGATATGTTTTTTATATTCCTTCGAATTCACCTTCTATTTTCTGGTGACGAAGAAAGATTGGCAAGGGTTCCGTACTCGATCCTCTACTAATCATAACGATAACAACTTGAACAACAAAACCAGTAAATGTTTATTAATAATAAAGTCATTTTGAAATATCTTCAAAAGAGATTCCGAATGGAGGATCGAATCAGCTAAACTTGGGTTTTTGTATCCTTGATTGTAACAAAAACTTCCAACAGGACGATTCCAGTTTGTGTTGTAGAAATGTTTTTATCAGTCGACCTCGTTTTTGTTAACACTCAGCGACCTTTATATTTTCGAATGATCCAGTTATTTGAGTTTTGTTTTATATTGTCGAATGATCCAGTTATTTGAGTTTTGTGATTATGACGATACTAGTTCGTGATAGCTGTGAAATCTGATTTTTAACATTTTTTTTTCTTGTTTTATTGAAATTTTACCAGTTTCTCGAGTGGACACGATTCATCCCAAACAATTCCCACAGTCATTAAATTTTTGATTTCATGGTTTCTGATTTACTATTTTTTAATGTTAATTTTTTCATTGGAACCAAGCTGCTTTTAGTACCAGGACAGTCCATGTCTCTAAACCGACTGAACTTCTTACTGTTCTTTATTATTGAAGATTCAAGCTTGGAGTCCAAAACTCAAATAACTGGATCATTCGACAATATAAAACAAAACTCAAATAACTGGATCATTCGACAATATAAAGCAAAACTCAAATAACTGGATCATTCGACAATATAAAACAAAACTCAAATAACTGGATCATTCGACAATATAAAAGTAATTCGTCCATATGTTAGGTATGAAACTAATATTTTTTTGTAAGTATTCAATATATCACTTCTCATGTTTTTACATAAGAAATTTACAATGTAAGAATCTTCCAGAATTGAAAACGAAACCTACCGATGTTTCTAACTGGTCAGAATCCTCCAGTTATTAAAATTCAATTTGCTACAGATCCAAACGACGAGAATCATCCACAATTGAAAACGAAACTTACCAACGGTTCCAAATTATTTAGAATCCTCTAATCTTCAACACGCAATTTACTATGGATCCAACTGATGAGAACCATCTAGAATTGAAAACGACACTTACCAACGGTTCCAAACGATCGGAATCCTTCAGATTTTAAAAAGCAACTTACCAACGGTTCCAAAGGATTAGAATCCTTCAGACTTCAACAAGTAACTGACCAATGGATCGAAATGATCAGAATCCTTCAAATTTCAACTAGCAACTAACCAACGGTTTCAAAGGATTAGAATCCTTCAGATTTTAACAAATAACTGACCAATGGTTTCAAAATTTCAGAATCCTTCAGATTTAAACTACCAACTTACCAACGGTTCCAAAGCATCAGAATCCTTTAGATTTCAACAAGTAACTGACCAACGGCTCAAAAAAATTAGAATCATTCAGATTTTAACTAGCAACTTACCAATGGCTCCAATTCGAAGAAACAGACTTCCATGGCTGCGATCATTCTCCGAAATCTTCGATTTCTTAACACGAGGGGGAATTGGAGTATCTCCTGGTTCGAACTTTTGGCCATGGTCTCCTAGTCTGCGGAGGTTTTCCATGATAGAAGGCTTCTTCCCACCATCATTAGAGACAGAAATACTGTGTGGAATTTCTCTTAGAATGTAAATGTTGATATAGAGTAGGAAAAATAGGCTGACGCCATAGAGGAAGAAATAAAAACCCTGTAAAGAAATGCAGATGTTTTATCTTGGTCGATGTGACAGTTAAATAAAGAGTAAAATGTTAAGATGAACACAAATTAAGGCATTAAAGAAAGAGGAAAATGTTAAGATGAACACAAATTAAGGCATTAAAGAAAGAGGAAAATGTTAAGATGAACACAAATTAAGGCATTAAATAAATAAGGAAAATGTTAAGATGAACACAAATTAAGGCATTAAATAAAGAGGAAAA